ATATATATATATATATATATATATATATCATACGTGTTTCCGAATTATTTGCTTGAAGTCGGATTTTGGTTAGAATTATTATCGGCTCGTATATGTCGTTTCGTTTATCGTATTATGCTGGTGTCTTTGTTAAACCGAGTATCATGTTGTTGCTGTGTTGAACCTCAATATGCTCGTTTAAATTTCTGTCGAGAAAGTATATTGATCGTTGTCGAGCTTAGAACATTCATTTTATAAGTCATAGTTATTTAATTTGAAAACATGGTAATCGTTGATCTGTTGTGCCGCGTTTTAAGCTATCTGAAGCTGGTTATTTGAAATTGTAGTCTTCAAATGAAATGTAGTATGTACAATTTACTAAATCTGGGCTTTTGAATTTCTCGATTCTGAGCTATATCGATAAAGTTATGATTTTTACAAGATTTGTGTGCGTCCAGTTTTTCTGGTTACCCGACAGCATATATATTTTAATGTGTGATCTGTTTTTCATGTCATAATGTGCTCGTATGAACTTATGGCCTTCATGAAAGTTGTAGATATATTTCTTACCTTTCAAATGAGATAAATTTCATGTCAATACGTTCTCTGTAGCTCGGGTTGTTCTCGTATGATGTTAGACATGCATGAGCTGTGACTTATTACCTTGGCAGACATCTGATATGGAATGTGAACTGATTTTACTCTATCCAAATGATCTTAAATGCTTCTGTGTTTTAAATGAAAGTTGTAGAGACATGCGTAAGGTTTAATTTGGGACTTGAACCATGTCATTTTGAGGTCTGTAGCTCGGTCTAGGTTGTAAAAACTGAAGTGCTGTCCATATCACATGTTAGTTCTTGACAGATTTGCTGAACCAAATGTTTTGTGTTTAAACTCATTAAATATGTGTTTATTTGCCAAAGTGACCTTCATAAAAGTTGTAGAAATTTGCGTTATCTATCATGTAGTTTTTGAATTTCATTAAAATCATGCCTGTAGCTCCAACTAGAGAGTAATTACTGAGGGCTAGTCAAGTGCATTACCCCAGTTTTGGACTGTGACTCATGTTATGAGTGTTTGTTGATTTATCTCCTGCTAAATGGCCTTATTTGCTTTCTGTGTCTTCATAAGAATTGTAGATTCATGTCTTAGGATTCCAATGCAACTTGATTCATAATCATATGAGTTGTGTGCTGAAAGTTGTGTCGGTTTTACTAACGCTGCCCGGGTTAAGTTTTCAAAATTTATGTGATATTTTCGAAAATATGATTTTCCTTGATTTAATGTCTGCTTAAATGCTTACGTAAGCTTAGTTGGACTAAGTGGTTGTCGAATAGTCTTTCATAGGGCTATTTTATTAAATGTAGGTGCTTAACGAGTCGGGCTCGCCGCCTACACGTGCATTGTGTTATCTCTTACTTTCGACCAGACGGGTTTTATTAAAAATTGTCTATGCAATGAATAGTTTTCTTTACTTGTGTATGATTGATGTATGCCTACGAATCATGTAGCCTTCGATGTGAGCTGTACCGGTCGTCGAACGGTTGTCCCTGTATTTATGAAATGAAAACCCGAGGGGTTACTCCTACTGACTGGGCATCGATAGAATCCCGAGGGGCATTCGATGTATAAGCCCGAGGGGAATAGATGTAAAGCCCATGGGGCATTCGATAGAAGCCCGAGGGGCATTCGATACGTCTACCGGCAGTAGTCTATTGGTATAGATGTGCACATGAGTCTGAACACTGTGAATTTATAATGAAAAAGTTGGGATATTCAATTGATTCTTATACATGCTATGATCACACTACTTCTTTTACTGTATATACTATGAAAATGTTTATTTCATAGTGGTGAGCACTACGATTTCCAACGGTGCTCATCCCCACCTGAAATTCACGTTTCAGGTTAAGAAAGGCGGGTACGACGGCGGAGTAGAGCGAGTGGTAGTCGATCTATGAGACCGGTTATTATATGATTTTGCTTCCACTATAGTTATAACTATTTATGATTTATGTATTTTCGAACTTTGAGAATTTATGAAGTATTGAGATACTATTGGGGAGATGCCCTGTTGACATTGTTATGTCTTGAAAACTTATGTTTTATTTTGTGAACCCAATTTGGGCAAATTGATGATTTATGGATTTATGAATCCCGTTTTGGGAGTTTGATGATTTATGTTATGGTAATAAATGAGTAACGCCACAAATGTTTGAAATAAATTTTGAAAAATTTATTCTGATTTTTCTGAAAGTCTGGAATTTTTTTGAAATCAAAGTGGGGTGTTACAGTATGGTATCAGAGCCAATCTGCGTTTCTGTAGACTGGTATACTCGAATCATGTGAACTCTGTGAAAATATGTGAATTCTATGATGTAAGTTATGACCACTCGCTTCCGTCGTGCCACGCCAATTCAGGTATGAGTTTCATAAGTAAATTTTGAATTGCTTATGTGGTTCTTGATATACGAAATGTTATGATATGATATGATATAAATCGGGGCTTAGGAGTTTATCCACCTGTTTCGAATTTGTTGAACTCTAGAGACCTTAGACTCGTGCTAAATGCCCATATTATATGATGTAGAATTATGGCAAGACCTCGTAACTAGCAGAAACCAGCAGCCAGCAAATAACCAGGGTAGTGACCATTCTGAAATCGTAATGAAGTTTCAGCAGTTGAGCCCACCGACTTTTACGGGAGTCGAGGGTCCCGCAGCTACCGCTGAATGGATCCAGAAGTTAGAGAGGATCTTCGATCTGCTATTTTGTACGGATGAGCAGCGAATTGCCTGTGCACGATTCCTGATGGATGGCGATGCAGCCACTTGGTGGTCGAATCACTGGAGGCTGAGGCCAGCGGAATTGGCTGTCTTGACATAGGACCGCATGAAGGATGTGATCCTGGAGAAGTACTATCCGCAGGAGTAAATTATGCAGATGCAGCACGAATTCTGGAACCTTAAGCAGGAAGCCCGGTCAGTCGGGGAGTACAAACGGGAGTTCGTCCGTATGAGTGAGTTTGCTCCACAACTGGTGGACATCGATTGCAAGAAGTCTATTAAGTTCCGGGATGGTCTTCGCCCGGACATCTGCTGGATCCTCACTAGTCACGAAGTGCTGCCATATGAGGAGATGGTTATCCGTGCACTTCAGCTTGAAAGCTGCCAACCTCAGCCCATCCATATTTCCTCTTACGTTCATGCTCCCATGATCCAACCAGTCACCAATGTCCCGCCTAATTCCAATTCGAACAAAAGGAAGTTTGATTTCCGCCGAGACCCTCGGAAGGGAAAACGTAGAGGTCCTAACCGACCCGGCGAGCGCCCTGCCCCTCAGGGCCAACCTCCGAGGTGCCGGAACTGTGGCCAAGCCCACCCTGGGGAGTGTTGGTACCAGCAGAGAGTCTGCTACAACTGCCAGAAGCCCGGGCATCTCTACCACGCATGCCCCGAACCCAAGAGACAGCAGCCCTACCAGCAGCAGCAGCAGCAGCAGCTCCCACCTCTACATCATCAGCAGCAACCCAGACAGCCCCCAGTGCAGAACCAACAGAGGAATGGAGGCCAGGCCCGTGTTTACACCATTACCCATGATGAGGCGGCAAACAACGCAGGTACAATGTCTGGAATGCTTTCAATATCCAATGTGCCCATCTTTGCTTTGTGTGATACTGGAGCCACCCATTCTTTTATTTCTTCTCGTTGTTTGGAGTCCTTAGCAATTAGTGTTGTGTGTAAAGTCAATCCTCTCGAGGTTAGCTTAGCCTCAGGAAAAACTCTTATCCCTGATTCTATGGTCCGTGGTCAGTGAGTCGACATTGAAGGGCGAATCTTAGAGGCCGATACCTATGTAATCAATATGCGCGACTTCGACGTCATCCTTGGCATGGACTGGCTCACTCGTTATCGAGCGGACATCCGATGTCAGGAGCGAGAAGTTACTCTTTATTCGGATGATGATCAGCCTATTCTCTTTTATGGGCTGAAGTCGAGGACTGTGCCTCGAGTCATCTCTTCTCTCAAAGCCATGAAGGGTCTGTCGAAGGGTAGCTGTCAAGGTTACCTAGTGAGTATGGTTAATGAGGATACCGAACGGACTCTGGAGAGGGTCTCGATTGTATGCGAGTACCTTGATGTATTTCCGGAGCAATTGCCAGGTGGACCACTGGATCGCTAAGTTGAGTTCACTATCGACTTAGTCCCCGGAGCTGGTCCCGTGTCGAAGGCACCTTATCGTATGGCACCGAAGGAGCTGCAAGAGCTCAAGTCCCAAATCCAGGAGTTACTTAATCTTGGTTTCATCCGACTGAGTGTATCTCCGTGGGGAGCGCCCATTCTCTTCGTCAAGAAGAAAGATGGGTCGATGCGAATGTGCATTGACTACCGTGAACTGAACAACCTTACCGTCAAGAACAAGTACTTTGAGCTATGTTGGATGAGCCCGGTCTCGAGCATCTCACTGACTTGTCTTTCTGTCTCCGTCTTCTGAAAATGTGCGTACCGGTATGGCTGGACGTGTACGGCATGCTGCTCATTGGTCAAAGGTATGCGGTGGTCGAACTCCCGGTGTGGTGGTAGACCCTTAGGCTCGCCCAGCACACGGTCGAACTCCTCGAGTAACCCGCGCACCTCGTCTTGCTGCTGCACGGCCTTGGCTATGTGTGCGTTCGTGTTCTCGACCACAACGGCAAAGATTTGGCTGCCCCCGCGCCAAACCCGCTCTATGCCTTTGAGACCTACCTCCTTGGTCCCTCCGGTCTCACTTGCCTTCAACGTGACTTGTTGTTCTCCTGTTTTGAACTTCATGACCCCGGTTCGGTAATTGGTGGTCACTTTTCCCAACCCGTCGAGCCATTGGACTCCTAACACAACGTCGGGCCCAACCAAGGGTAGCGCGTAGAGATCGGCCTTGATGGTGACTCCTTGGAACTTGATTGGCACCTTGCAATAAGACTCGGTGCACCTTAACCGTTCACTGTTGGCTACCCGAACCTCGAACGGTTCTATCGTTGTCGTGGGCAACTTCAGCTTCTGGGATAGCGTGGCATTGATGAAGTTGTTTAACGACCCATTGTCCACGAGTACGACCACTCGGCGGTCCTTGACCCATGTCGGTAGTCGCATTGTTCATGGCCCACGAGTACCAGCCATTGCATGCATTGAAGTCTCGGCTTCTTCTTCGAGCACCTCAACCTCGACTTCGCTTTCTTCGATCTCGGACTCCTCCTCATCTGAGTCGATGACGTCGATTACAAACGCCTGCTAGCATCAATGGCCTAGTGTGAACTTCTCTTCACACTTGAAACATAGCCCTTTTTCACGTCGACGCCTCATTTCCTCAAGCGACAATCGATTGACTTCTGGCGTCGGTGGTTGCGTGCTACTCGGTGGCCGGATGCTCGGGACGGTGTTAATTGTGCGTCATGGTTCGGGGAAACGCGCGTCTGCCCGTCCCCTTCGAGTGGCGGCGAGGTGGTCGTCTCGGCGTCGGGAAACCTCCATGGCCGCATGCATTGACTCTGGCCGCTCTAAACGAACTTCCGCGGCTAGGTCAATTTTAGGCTGCCGAGGAATGCCCCAACAAGTGCGGTCTCTGGCCAGCCCCGTACGCGACACGTTAATCTTTCGAACTCCTTTAGGTAGTCGCGCAAGCTGCCGGACTGACGAATGCGCGAGATGGCTTCGTCATAGTTGTGGTAGTCAGATGTTTTGAAACGCGTGAGTAATTCGCGTTTGAAGTTGCCCCACCTGATGACTCACTGCCGGTTGCGGTAAACGCTCGTGAGCCATTGCCACCACACGTTGGCCTCACCGTCTAGGTAGTAGGCCGCATATTGCACACGATCATTAGCCTCGATTTCGTTGAGCTCAAAGTATTGCACGGCCCGGTTGAGCCATGCCTAGGGATCAGTGCAGGTGAATGTGGACAGCGCGAGCCTTGGTTTTTTGGGCCTTGGGCGGTTGTGTACATTAGATGCGTGTGACTGCTGCTCAAAGTCCTCCTCATGTTCGGGCTCGTCGCGCCGCTGCTCCTCTCCCTTGAGTCGCTCGCGCCGCGGTTGCCGCGGTGGTGGTCGCGCATGGTGTTGAAAATTGCGAGCCATCTCATCGAACCTTCGGTTCATGCTTTCCATCAAATCTCGAACTGATGCTTTGGTTGTGTCAAGCCCCTCACCTAGGGTGTCCATGGCTTCGCTCATGCTTCGGACTTGAACGTCTAGATTATCGATCTTGTCCTTCATCTCCTTGTTGGCCATGACCTTCTTTTCTTGTTTTCGTTCCTTGCTTTGAGGACTCGCCTCGAAGATTTTTTTTTTGTTTCGAACGAAATTAAAAAGATGGAAAAGAAAAAGATGAGAAAGGAAAAGACACACGATCTTGATTCTCTCAATGAAAGCACCAATGATGAAGATTGCGTGTCCCGATTGCCGATAAGCCACGCGCTCGTGCCTTGAACTGACGATAGGTATCTCGGAGGTTCACACACCCGCGCCCCTCGAAACGGAATAAAATTGCAAAAGAAATCAAGAAGAAATCTAAGGCAAAGTGTTTGAACAAATGTTCGGTTTTTTATTATGATCTTCAATACATTAAAATAACAAGAGGAAGGGCCTTTATATAGGCATCGTCATCGTCCACGCTTCGTCGAATGATGCTTGCAAATCTTTCCTAGGAATTTCGTCCTCCATAGCCGCCGAGCTTCAGCAATCTCAGCACACCACTTTTCGAACGAAAACCCACAGACGGCACCAAATGGTAACGCAAAACACTCCGATCGGCTTGAAATCAGTTCACCTTCCTCTTCCTCGCCGGTAGAACGCAGCGCACCTGCACATAACTCTCACACCGGAGGAGTTTTCCAGTGAAGAGCCTCTGATGCTTAAGTCAGTATGTATTTGTTCAATTTTCCAAAGTAAAGAATGGATAAATCGTAAGTCACAAGAAAAGACCCACTCCTATATATATATATAGGAGTGAGATACCTGCCCTAAGAGCTGCCCATATCTGGTGAGCTATCCTGCCCATACTGCTCGTTCGTACACACACAATATGTGTGTGTCAGAAGTGTCAGAGGTGGTTATCACCACTATTTCTCTGCACCAATGTATTCTCGCCACGTGTCCTTCTAAGCAGAAGGAGATTATTCTCTGTGCATCCCGTTAGTATCTTTTAACGCCACCCACGCGCTTTCTCGCATTCAAGCCACGCTCTCGACTGCTCTTCACTTGTTAAGCGCTCGATCTGACCAAGTCCCCCATTGCTAGGTCGATCCTCGACCAGTTCTGCTATTCTGCTCGATCTCTTCCCTTTTGATCGATCATCCTTCTACCAATGCAGTTTTATTGACTTCGAGCTCGCCCGACCAATGTGGTAAACCGGTCTATTCCTTAGCTATATAATATCCCATATCATCTAGTCCCCCCCACTCTGGTCGAGTCTAAATGACTCGATCTAAGAGTGAATTCGAGTTGTCTTCTCCGCTCTGTCAACCTCTCGATCTTCTGTTTACATCTGATCTCCTCTTTCGATCGTTTTCGTTGAGGCCGCCACCATTTCTCGACCATGTGATCGACTTTATGGTGCACTTTAATTATCTTTCATTTCCTTTTATCCTCAGCGTAATTTCCGCCTGCCATATGTCCTTTACGCTTAGTACCTTTAATCATCATGCCCCTCGCGATTTGTGCCGCTTCGCTATCTGTGCTTCGTTAATCTCTTCCCACCGTTGGATCTCCTTTTATCTAACGGCTATCGCCATTAACTCTTCACCTTATTCCTCCGTCCTCTTATAAATACAGTACTTGATAAATTTTCCGACTTTCCTCACTTCTTGCAAATCTCGAGCTCCCTTGTGCCCTAATTTCTTCCTCTGCAAACTGCTCTCTCCTGTTCTTGACGCCTTTTCTTCAAGCAATTTCCGGCAACCGCTCTCTACTGCAACCACGAGTAAGTCTCTTGTCCTTTAATTTTATGTTCGCTTGTGTTTATTTTGTCGATTTTTGGTTTT